GGTCCTTACAAAGCGATGCGGTCATCTCGCTGGCAAGAAGGTTGTTCCTCGAGAAGAGTACTATGCCCGTATCCGTGCAGCCCACGCAGCACGCGTCCGTATGCGATCAGACTTTGTCTTGATTGCGCGAACGGATGCCCTGCAGTCGCTTGGCTACGACGAGTGTATCGAGCGTCTCCGTACAGCACGGGACCTCGGCGCAGACGTCGGTCTCCTGGAGGGCTTCAAGTCCAAGGAGCAGGCAGCTCAGGCCGTCAAGGACCTGGCACCCTGGCCGTTGCTCCTGAACAGCGTCGAGAATGGCGCCAGCCCAACCATTACCGTGGACGAGGCGCGCCAGATGGGCTTCCGAATCATGATCTTCTCGTTTGCCTGCATTACACCTGCCTATAGGGCCATCAAGGAGACTCTTACCCTGCTGAAGACCAAGGGTATTGTTGGCACGCCAAAGGACTTGACGCCTGTCCGCTTGTTTGAAGTGTGTGGACTGCAGCACTCAATGTCTGTTGATATGGAGGCCGGTGGACTTTCGTTTGCAAATGGTGTATAACCTTTCCATCAAAATTCATCTTGTTACTATTATGATCCATATGAAACACGTAAATATCTCAACTGCGCATAAGACTTTCCGCCATCTTAGATGTTTCAAGTAACAGTTTTGGGTAAAATTCTCATTATTGCTACACATGTCCTCATCTGTCCCACACTGACTATACATGGTGAAGATGATGAAAGGAATACGCGACATCCCCGTTGCTCCACTGGCAAACAATGGAGATCAACAATACTCAGGGGTGGTATAGCCGTTGCGTCATGATGGGTCACATTGAGGTTTACTAGTCGTTCTGACTCCGTTTTTTGCCACAAAAACTCGAGTATCCGGGTTCGGATAACGCCCGAGGAAACGGGTGTTGTGCATCACGAAAGGCAAGGTGAAGGCTCCCTGGGGCTCCCTGTTAACCCTTCCTCTGCATTTCGACACGCCACTTCCGTTTCTGTGACTGCGTAGCGCCATCACATACTATCGCTCCGTACCACACTATTCAAGAACCATGACCTCCGCCGCCCGGGTTTGTTGCACTAAGATGTAAAGAGCAGGTACTACACCTTACTAGTCACTTGCCAGTTCCTGATGCGAAACGGATGTTGTAGCCGTAAGCGTCCTCCCTAATATGGACTTCGGCTCACCCGGACGCTGCGCTGATTGATTAGATCGCTCAACGATAACGGGCTTGCATATTCCAAACGACGTGGACGGGGAAACCCGGGTGCGGCTGAATATTAGCCTCGACGCCCGAATCATTTGAAAAGAAGCTCGAATCTTTCCAACCACTACCATGGATAAAAGCGAGGGATGGCGAGACTGCTATAAATAAGTAGCGTTCCTATCGCCTCTTGGGCAGATTAAGGAGGGATAGTCTCCATTCGATTTTATATAGGGCCAACTATTTCCTAGTATTTAGAGTGAGATTTTGATCATCTATTCCCACAGGGGGTTAGGCTAAATACAATCATGGACTCCGCGGCCGAGTGAAGGGAAGAACATGGACAACTAGTCTCTACACTTAGTTGTGCGTTTATATCGGCTGTCATGGAGCACGAATCCTGGGCGATGACAATGAGAGTTTGGATTGCCGCCATTTCAAGCCAGCGCGCGAATGGAGAAAGTAGCGAATTACTGTTTGTATGCGTCTATTCTCGCCATAAACGTCGCACGATAGGATTACCTCGGCCACCCTTAGGTTTATATAGAAAAAACCGCCAACTACTCGCTATATGATAATGACTTGACCTCTGATTATAGACCGATTTGTGTCACCGCGGGGGGGATTTTGCCCTTGTAGGCATCCACAGATACATTTCCGTCCTATATCCTTGACGCACGTGATGGCCAATAAGAATCCCCGAGTGTCATTATGGATGTATCGGACAAGCTGCGTGAATCCACGGATTGATTGGTGACGATCTTTACGCGGAAGAGAGGAACCGGTGCCACCCCTCCCACGCGACGACGTCCAGTCTCCTTGGGCTTTTACCAGCAGACGCAAATCGGAACATCTCAATGGGGCAAGTGTCGTCAAGTTGCTGCTTGCTGGCAGCGCCACTAGATGCAACCCGGTCCGGGACCCCCCAACCTTGCAAGTTGTTCCCCATGGACGAACCAATAGACATGACAGGTAGGCTGCCAAATTGCCGCATTGGGAAATCGTTGGCGGTATTGCTTCAACTACATGATACAGTGCTAGGAACATGCTTGTGTGAAGCGCCCAAGGAAGATGTTCGATGGAGGCTTGCAAGACGACAGGCGTAAGTTTCAGGATGGAAAACTTGGGGGTTACTGCTTGATAAAGTAGATGGCAACTATTTGTATTGGAACGCATTGCTACTGTTCTACTTAGCTGGCAAGAGAATTTGAATAATCTATTATATTGGCTCGGCAGTGTCGAGGTAGCCGCGAAGATTCATGTCGAAGGCGAGATTACTCGGGCTGCTGCCATGTTACGAATGTGCATTAACCATTGCAGAAACCTACTTTGGTCAGCCGACTGCCTGTGATAGAAAGTGAAGAATAGGTTTACACGAGGAGAAGAAATGGCTGGCTTTCCCCCTCTACCCCCCATGGACGAACCAATAGACATGACAGGTAGGCTGCCAAATTGCCGCATTGGGAAATCGTTGGCGGTATTGCTTCAACTACATGATACAGTGCTAGGAACATGCTTGTGTGAAGCGCCCAAGGAAGATGTTCGATGGAGGCTTGCAAGACGACAGGCGTAAGTTTCAGGATGGAAAACTTGGGGGTTACTGCTTGATAAAGTAGATGGCAACTATTTGTATTGGAACGCATTGCTACTGTTCTACTTAGCTGGCAAGAGAATTTGAATAATCTATTATATTGGCTCGGCAGTGTCGAGGTAGCCGCGAAGATTCATGTCGAAGGCGAGATTACTCGGGCTGCTGCCATGTTACGAATGTGCATTAACCATTGCAGAAACCTACTTTGGTCAGCCGACTGCCTGTGATAGAAAGTGAAGAATAGGTTTACACGAGGAGAAGAAATGGCTGTCTTGCCGCCTCTACCCTGGCGAAGAAAAATGCCGAAAGAGGCACAATCGCTCTTTCGAGGACACTTATTATTTACAAATGGTTTTAAATGTCTCGAGAGTTTTTGTTTTCTCTTTTTCCGCTTCTTATCCTCCTGAAATATAAATTACTGGCATTGCCCACCCTTGTTATCTTTGTTGAGCGTGGGCGAGGAACCGTCTTCTGACTGAGGGGCTGACTGCCCAGCAAGAAACATGTTGAATTTAATCAGCTAAAAAGACCCTACATGCTCGTAATGCTAGTCAGGTATCCATCTCACGTCTGCCATGCCGCAATTCGTGGCTATCCTCGTCTAACTATTCTCAAAGTCTACTCCTCACTATATCGGGAGACGTTGTGGGCTGGCATGTCGGCCATCATGTGTAAAATTCGTCTCGGATATCTCCCGCAAAACGAGTCTGATTCCCGTCAGCGTCCGCGACTTGCCGTACTCTGAGAAACGCGAACGTCGAGGCCCAACTCATGCACTTTATTCGTCATGTACGAGTCGACAGGTCAGCTCCCGTAGACACAACAGAAGAGAGACATGTGACTTGTCGACTCGGAAATGGAGCTAATCAAAGCTGTGATGGCCCAGAAGATGTGGAAAGTCTCAACTTCGCACTCTCGGTCTGACTAGACACATGCTGCCATGGACATGTCGACGCTTGGCATCAGGGCGTGCGTCTCTTTTATTGGAGATGCGTCAGCCATCACAGTCACTCAGCGAGCTAATACCGCGTCAGTCGCGCGTTGGAGAGATGGACGTCACATCACAAACATGACGAGCGAGGATCCGAACCCTTCAGGCATTGTGATGATATCTGCTGATACACGGCAGATGCACAGCTGCACGGGAGTGGAGATTTCTCTGAACAACTCAGCCTGCAGCATTCAGTGGGCTCAACCCAACACTGAACGGGATTTCCTGGCGTCTCGGAAGTGACGTGGCGCGCGCCGGAGCGAGTATCACGATGTCAGGATTCATGCAGGTATCCCCGCTGCACATGTCGGTCTTGCCAAGCATCTACGCCGCCAAGGCCATGAAATGTTGGCTACACAAACATCGGGATTCCGTGGCACGCAATATTTGTGCTACGCCTTGTTTCTTTTTTTAAGACGGCGCGGCGCACTGCAGCATCTCACAGGACAATTTGCGACTCGGGATACACAGGCGGGGGAACCAGTCACCACGACCCATTGCGAACCGCATCTACAATCGCAATCACTCATCTTGAGACATGTCGAGCGGTCATCTGACTGGATGTGGCCAGTTGCTGCTGCATCTTTGGCCGTGGCGCGATTGCGCACAGCCTGTGGTGCCCATCTGCCTCGATTCAGCCCTTCCTCCCCGCATGATTGTGACATATAATTGACTCTGGACGGCGCTAGGGTCGCAGGGTGGCAGCCCGAGATGCCGTGGTTTCTTGCAGAATTCACCTGTCGCGCACAGCAGCAGCAAGTTGCAACTGATGAAACGGTACATGGAGACGTGCCGGTCTGTCTGACTCGGGACGGCCAAGCTGAACGTGATGCATCGTCGTGTTGCTGGCCCCATTGGCTGGCCATATACACACACAACAAGACGCAGAACAAGAACCAATGATGCAGAGAGCCCCGCATCACCAGGGCGAGACACATTAATAGGTGCTTATGCGGCGGATACCTTTGGCCAAGGGTGAATGCATGAGTGACAGGAATAGGTTGGCATACAGATGGGGTTACAAGGTGGCCGGTCAGCCCGAATGTGGCCGTCGGTTGCCAAGGTCTTTTTTCTTTTGAATACTTTTAGGCCATTGGTGAGGGGTTATATTTGCCGACGTCGTATATATGACCATGACGATGAACCACTTCTCTGTATATACTCCTGTATTCCTGTTCCAGCATTGTCACTGGACCGCAAGCTTTTAGCCACCATGCCGAGCATCACGGACGATTACCCCGAGTATAGTCGTACTTGCAAGCTCGACACTCTCCGAGCGACCGAGTACGGCTATCTCGACGAGCAAGACCACATCTATCTTGATTATACCGGGGCGGGGCTTGCAGCCCGGACTCAGTTTCAAGCTCACAAGAGCCGTCTTGACGGCGCAACGTTTGGAAACCCACATTCGGAAAACCCTACCAGCCGCGCCGCAACAGACCTCGTAGAGCGGGCGAGGCGGCGAGTCTTGTTGCATCTCAACGCATCCCCAGAAGACTACCAAGTCATCTTCACGTCCAATGCTACCGGCGCCGCAAAGCTCGTGGGCGAAGCGTACCCGTTTGCAAAGAGCTCGAGGCTTGTCCTCACCTCGGACAACCACAACTCCCTCAATGGGCTGCGCGAGTACGCCCGACGAGCCGGCGCAAAGAAAACACGATATGTCCCCATGCGGCCCAAGGACCTGCGTATCGACACGGAAGCAGTCATCAAGACACTGGGCCGTCCCAGGCCGTGGCCCTTGGGACGGCCCTCGAAGCGTCAAAGAAAGGGCCTCTTTGCGTACCCGGCTCAAAGCAACTTTAGCGGCGTGCGGCATCCGTTGAGTTGGATCAAGCTGGCCCAAGACCTCGGCTACGACGTGTTGCTCGACGCCGCGGCATACCTCCCCACGAGCCAGCTCGACCTGTCCACCGTCAACCCGAGCTTTGTCATTGTCAGCTGGTACAAAGTATTTGGATTCCCGACGGGGGTCGGCTGTTTGGTCGCTCGCCGCGATGCGCTGGCCAGGCTCGCACGACCGTACTTTGCCGGAGGCACCGTACAGGCGGCCACGGTAGCCATCCCCTGGCACACGCTGGTGTCGGGGGAAGGGGCCTTTGAGGACGGCACCGTCAACTACCTGTCGATTCCAGACGTCCACGTCGGCCTGGACTGGCTTTCCACCGTTGGAATGGACATGGTTGCGACCCGAGTACGATGCCTGACCGGGTGGTTCATCGACCGCCTGCTGAAGCTCCGGCACAGCAACGGCAGCCCCATGATTGTTCTGTACGGACCGGCAGACGCAGAGTCTCGGGGAGGCACCGTTGCGTTCAACTTTGTAGATGCCCGAGGAAAGGTCGTGGACGAGCGCCTCGTCGCCCAGGAGTCCAGCAGGGCACACATTTCGCTTCGCACCGGCTGCTTTTGCAACCCGGGCGCGGGCGAGGCCGTCTTTGGCATTTCCGCAAGGACGCTGAAGCCGCTCGTCCGCCAAAAGGGCGGCACATTTGACGACTTCCTCCGCATAGCACATCTGCCGACTGGTGGCGCCATCCGGGTGTCGTTTGGCATCGCATCCACGTGTGGCGATGTCGACTATTTCATTGCTTTCGCGACAAAGACGTACAAGGACCGCGTGACTTCGACCGAGGGCTTGGCCCCGAGGCCGGGCTGTTGATGTGTTGCATTCACAACATGCTAGTTTTCGTGCAAAGGCGTATGTGGCATACGGACGATGCAGTTGGTGCGTCATGATATCCAGATACCGTGGGCTTGGTGGCTTGGACTATACCACTTGTGTTTCAAATGTTCTTTTTGTAACGGACAATTCATGGGTAGGATTACAAGGTAAATGGCATTTAGGGGTCTTCTAGATGCAGAGTAGCCTTTGAATAAAATTATAGAAAATAACGTACACTTATTTGATCTAGTGGCATTTAAATTATTCATCTAAAGAGCAGATATATTATCTCGATTGACGGCTGTGCATCGCATTGGACTGTGAAATCAGTCTTTGGGTTGAATCTGCATGTCGAGGGAATTAAAGTCTCCTTTATAGTTGGAGAACGCAAGGCACTGGAAAGGCCACGTTTGAATTGAAAAGGCCCTATTCCAAGGTTTTAGCTAGCCAGCTTCTAATTTGAACCTTGCAGCCTAGTTTGAACCTTTTACATGACCAAGGCACGGCTGGATGACCCCTCTATGACATGTTACGGACTCGTTGACAAATGTATATTGCTTTACCCGACTGGCCTATATGCCAGCTGTAATACAGAAAAACTGTCTATAGAGGCTGCGAGTTGGCATAACAAGTCACAAGTCAAACTGTGGAGCCATGGAGCCAGATGATGCAGCGACAGCCGTCTTTGGCCGAAAATCCCCGGCATCCAGCTTATAAGTGTGTCCTTTTGTCTCTCTCTGCGGCCCTGACACACATCTTCTCACTGCCATATCCCATTGAGGGGAGCCAGAATGTGGATAAATTGTTAGCTGCAGGTGAGCGGTGGTACCAGCACAACACAAGGGCTACATGGTCCTGGAAACCAAACGATTCTACAACGGCATACATGTCTCGGCTACACTTATTCCCTGTCGCACGGGTATTACAGCATGACGGCACGGACCGCCTCTTGAGCCCGACGATAGTTACACAAGGGCTCGGAGAAGCTGGAGGTTTTATGCGTCGGTGACCTCAGGCCTCAAGGTTTACCGCTGCTTTGTGTCAAGACCGTTCTACCTACCCCAAAGGAATGTCAACGGATAAAAAAAGGTAGCGAGTGGGTGAATACGGAACTTGGGCAAGCTTCCGCTTCACCTCTTTGATTTGAAATATAACATAGGTACTTCTCGGCCTATAATTAATCAAAGGGAAAATATTTCTTGGTAATCAATTGATAGAAAAATGGAGATGTTGGTATTTTCGTCTGTAGCATCGCGTTTGTGGCATTCCGGATGTCTGTTGTAACATCGAATTTGGCGGCTCTACGGAGTAGCGGGCTCCAATTTAGCGGCCTTGAAGCGCCCGCATCGGCAGCTTGAACAGGCCAGGCTCGAAAAGCGGCTTCAACGGGCTCCCGGAGGACCTCTAAAAGGCCCCTAAAAGGGATAAATTACAGGCTCTAGCTCTCTCCGCTTTGCCTATGCCTGGGGCAACTTGCTCGTTGGCATCAGGGTCTTGTACTACAGTAGAAGGCTTAATTGGTGCCGTCGTTTTACTATATAAAATACATACTAAAACCTGGAAGGGGACGAGGCAAGCCACATCATTCCGCTTGATCTAAGTTGGGCAGCCACGGGCAGTGGACACGCACGGCTCCAGAGCGTGCCTCAACTTCACATTGACCACGAGAGTATATAATTCATCCTACCACTCTTCATTCATGTACTTGATCCACAATTCAGCTTACAAATATGTCTCTTTCCGCCCGTTCTTATGAAGGAGAAACCACTTGCTCTGGATGTATTAAAGCGGAAGCAATCTCTCTACGCGTTGGTATGGAGCCGGGAAATCCTCAGTTCAATAACACCTTTTAGCTGCTTACGTCTTTGCCTAGGTTTCAAAATGCAGAAGAATGGTGCACCGAGCTTTTAACAAATGTGCTCCAGTGTAGTGAGCAGAATGCTTGACGGGGTAGCATGGGAAACTTTCTGGCTCCAGATGCAGGCAAACTTTGAATGTTACGTCCCAGATTTAGGTATTTGGGCTGTACGTGAAATCTGCCCGCAGCTAGGGGGCGGATTTGAATCCTCTTTGTAGAGTGTTGTAACTAGGGTTAGCTAGCAATATAAGAAAAGTACTTTCCAGGTCGTAATAGCAGAGCATAAATGCCCCAGACAGTTCATTCGGAACTGGGCTTTTAGGCATACGAGAACTTTATAGAAGGTACGTTCTATATTTGCGACTTGTTTAAAAGTAGAATTGCCTCGAGTTAAAAACAAATTTGGTACACATACCTTACGTGGCTTCACGATGTACAAGCGAGCCAGAATCTTATGGCTTTTTGGGTGGTAAGGCTCCAAAAAGTCTCCATGTCTTGATAAACACTGTGTAAGTAGCAGCCTTCGTTGGTGTATTATTTGCCCTTATTTCCGTCCCAGGAAGATAGAAATTCAAATAGCCTAAAGACGTTCTGGATTAGGAAGATGAAGTATTATCACAAGAAGGTCGCAGTCAATATTCCAAGCAAGAAGGTTTAAAAATAATACATTCTTGTACTATCGCGACAACTATCGGGTTTGAACATCGAATGATGGAGCAAAAAGTTCCAGTAATAGCGGCCCGTAGTTGAATACCCTCGATTTAGATCACAATTGTGCCATTGCGGCCCTGAAATATACTGATTTGTTCAATTATAGTGGAAGAAGAAATATGATACAACACAAACGCCTACCAGTAGTGAGACTGGTTCGGCAGTAGCCATTAATCAATTGAGCTCACATTCGAAAATATCAGACCTTAACCTGGCGTCTGAGCTAAACTTGCTTTTATAATCCATCTTTGTTATAATGTGTCATCCATGGCAAGCGCTATATCATAAAATCGTGCATTAAGCACTTGTCACGACTATTACCCGCTTTCGGAACAACCCCTGCGCCTGATTTGTAGGTACAAAGAGTTCTTCAGTACTAGGAAAATAAAACCTTGTAGAGATGCATCATCGTCAAGCCCTGCTGGCAACATCTTGCGTTTCTCCGTACCAAGGCCTATAGTCTAGCGGCAGCGCTCGATGCTAACATGACGGGACACTGGCAAATTGTGAATGACATTTAGCTCACAGACCGCTGAAGAAAATTTAGAAAACTGTCGACTAAATCTTTGCAAGACTTGAAGTCGGGAGTATAATGCTGCACTATCCTAACCACGTGTATTTATAGCTACGTCGTGATAGAAAGGGACGTATTGCGCAGGGAACTAGCATACGCCGCAAAATGCAAAACAGCCAGCCCCGCGCTGATAGTAAAGTCTGTAAAACAAACTACAGTGGAAATGCCTGTTTTTCTGCTAGTGCTGGTAGACCTTTCGAAAACTGCTAATGGTAGCACGTCGGTGCTGTTTCGGCTGTGGCGGGAAATACCGAGTGACATGTGTAAGAAAGAGTCTGGTAGCAGTAGCACCAAAATCCGGGGATTTAAACACTGGACTAGCCAGCGGCACGCGAGAAACCAGCACACCAGACTTGTCAGAAACGAATACGGCCAAGCTTAAATGACGATACCGTAGCAACAGTGCTTCTAGGGCAGAAGATGAAGACTCGGGCACCAAAGTCTTTCGAGGCTTTGATTGTTTCCTATAGGCTTGATAACCCAGATCCCCATGTGAGCCGAGGAAGGAGTTATGCAGCGTCGTGCGGCCGACCTGCATCAAGGAATTTTGGAATGGTCTGAGAAGAGTTTCCTCCTTCTGGCATCTCGCTCGGTCCAACTGATGAACAAGCATTTGCTGTCATTCTTTGACGTCTGCTGTTAGTTAGAGCTCGTCAAAAATCCACAAACGATAAATATGCCGCGGCCGAATATTTCCACCAGACACCTTCGCTTTTCCAGAAGCATGGCCAGTTGAACAAACATATGGGGTATTGAAATCTGGGCAAGGCCGGGGCTCAGTGTCGGAACCTGCCAAGCATGTGAATCAAGTCACGCCAACCTCGGATTCACAGGCTCACCAGTGTCGCCACCCCTGCCAGATTTGATGTTCAAGGTCCAATCACGTCTCTTGTCAACGTGCTTCGTGCCTTCCAACTGAGCTAGTGCATAGGTACGTCACAGGAAACACATCGAGCTTCATCGGGCCAACCAGTCGGATCTAATAAAACGCGACAAGAATCTTGGTTCGAGGCGGGCACGGATGCCTCCGTCAACACGCGGCTCGACGAGGCTGGGAGTCTTGCGTCAAGCTTTTATGTCAATATTCATGCTTGATCTTTTTCCTATTTCTTTTCTTCCAACAGAAAAAAGCTTGGACCCCACGCGCTGATATAAAAACGCTGTTATTTGTGACGCGCGCAAGACATGGTATTGGGAAAGGAAATAGTTTTGCAATATTTGATAGTCTCAAGGTATCGAGACGACTATAAATTAGAAAAAGCTTGTAGGGTCAGCAATTTTGAGAAGCAATATATTTACTACATTCTGGTATCTTGGTTGCGGTAAGCGGGCGGTCCGCTCAGAGGTGAGATGCAAAGCACCTCATCCAGTTCGACACCTGGAAAAGGACCCCCGGAAGCTCCGTGTTACAAGACCACCAGACACTTTCAGAGAGGGTCAAGTGTTTAGTACTCCGCACTTCCCTTGGGGCTAGGGCTGACGGACAAGAGCACGCGTGAGGTATCCAAGTCCGCGGTGGGGATAGTCTGCATAATAGCTGGGGAAGACCGACAAGGCTCTACACGCACAGACAAAACGGTCATGCGTGGCTGTGTTGGGATGATGAGCCAGGGGAAGGGCAAGCGGCGGTAGGTGATGATGGGTGAGGGGTGGTTTCAACGTTCCCAAGGATCGACGTCATGGTGGCTCACTAGCACTCCGTCTAGCCAGCCAATTCTGGGGTATTGGAGAACATGGCGTCTAAGATGCCGGCTTGGGATCAAAGTATTCGTCGAGTGCTTTGCGGCTCCAACTGCGCGAATCAACCGGAACCCTTTCCCAACCTGGGGAAGTCCAAGCACCGTCTGATCGGCAGTGCCCCTATCCCCGGATCTATTAAAACCATGGTCGAGCAATCGTTGCCCACACATTGGGCGCAGAATACACACAAGTTTTTCACTCACCATCTTTGCATATCTGCAGTTCAACTGGCTCCTCGAGCCATCTCATCTGGTCGCTTAGACGGACACCAGCGGCAATGCTCGCAACCCAAGCAATGACTGTCGACGCCACTCGGCAGGATCACTATCCCGACTTTGACCGTACGTATTGAAACTCGAGTTATTTTTTTTTTTTTTTTTCAGAAAAGCCTTCATTAACACGGTACGCGCGATGATTCAGTGTTACAAGACCGGCCAGGGCTGTGGTCAGACATCCCGTCAAGTAATCTCGACGCTCGCTCATCACAAAACATTTGTAGCGAGTTTGATCTTGTAGCCCACATGGCCTTCCACGCAAACATGTTCCCAGAGTATCTATCTTCGCAGAGCCTTCAGGGTCAACAATGGACTGGCAGGGGAGCATGCCGTTCACAACCACAGAGTAGTCCTTGCTCATCTCCGTTGCAAAGTCAGCATGGCCAGATACACGAAACACGCGACTTTGAGGAGGAGACGACGGATATTCCAGATCAAAGAGGTCAACAAGGCAATGATGTGAGATACACAGACTTTACTACATCACAGCGTGGCCAGCGGTCCCAGTCTCGGTCATTGCCCGTTGGACACCTCCGCCATCAGTCGTCTGTGGATTTTGGCGAGGATCTCTTGCGCAACAGCCACGACACAGTCGACGAAAACATCTTTGCAGACTGGGCCTGGGGTCCACGGGAACGATCTGGGAGACGGGCTGTTCGCGAGGGCTCCATGCAATGGGGAAGCGACTCTGGCTTCGACTCCCCGAGAGGTTCTCTCGCGTCCATTTCAGGCGACGAAATGGATTCAAACTCGTCCCCGCATGTAAATGGGTCGGAGAAGGAGGAATCTGGGTTCACAGCTCTGTCATTCGGATACCGCACTCAAGTCTTGAAACCGACAACGGGACTTTCATCATCCCTCGGCGAACACCCGACTCCTTGGCCGGTACTGAGGACCCGGACCGGCTCCATCGATCCAGACGTGGTATCTACGTACAGAGCGCTGTCCATGGAGTACCTGGGCTCTGCAATGCACGAGCGCAAGCCGATTGCTACGGTAGGCCCGCGGCGTGAGAAACTGACGGAGCAGCAAAGGCGACGAAACCACATCCTGCATGAGAAGAAGCGTCGCGCCCTGATCAAGGACGGATTCGACGACCTACTCAACCTGGTCCCGGACGTGAAGGATCGGGGCCTCAGCAAGTCTGCAATTCTGCTCAAGGCGGCCGAGTGGTTGAGCAGTTTGATATGTGAGAACAAGGCATTGCGTGCCCAGGCAAGGGCCCTTGAAGGCGCCGACACGATGCCCAGCCCACCGCAGCCTGCATCTCCCCATCAGAAGAGTCACAGACGGATTAACCGGCGTATATGATTGGACTGCATGGAAGCCGAAGGCGGGCTCCGTTTTGTATCTTGTCTTGAGGATGGATTCGGCGTGTTAGAGCCACCAGATGCCCACTGGGGGAGAAGAGGATCGGCGAAAAAGAGAAAAAAAAAGCCAGGCCTCTAATCTCGGGGGCGTCTAAAGGGGGAAAATGGGTTTGTGGGCCAGTAGTCTTTGTATGGTAGAGCACAAACATGGCCAGTGTGAATGAGGATGCTCTCCTAGTCAACATGGGTGGCTCCACGTAATGACAAGCTGTAATGATACTTGCACCACATACTCCGTACACTGCATTCAGCGTCGGGCTGTGAAGCTGCATGTTTTGCCTCCGGGCCTTGCCGCCGAGAGCACTTGGGTCCTGAGCGGAACACTCGGCCTCTTCTCCGTGGGCCGTTGTGGCGCACCAACAACCCCAGGTGCCCTAAACGTGCCCAACGCTGTCTAGTCTGGGCGACTTGCCGCCATGTAACCTCACCATGGAAATAATTCGTGGGGACGCGCTTGGGTTGGGGTAGTTGGCCTGGCCGGCTAGGCGTCATGTTGCTCATTCTCTCGGAGCCCGTCGTCTGTTGTGGTGTCGGCAACTCGAGGACCAAGCAGACGGACGGACGAGACAAATGAGACCAGACGTCTTGTGGTTTTCTAGTTTTGGCAAAGAGTTGCCTAGCACCCTGTCCCGACTGCAACATCACAGCAGAGCATTTGACTCTATTCTCATCTCGGCCACTTGACTTCTCCAAGTCCAAGACACTGCGGGGGAGGGGAATGGAGCATCGCAGTCCGTGCATAGGACAAGGTTTTCCCCAGCCATTAATTTAATTTCCCCTGGCTCCCCCCCTGGACCAATGCCGAGTTGCGACTGGCTGGTGGCAAGTCTTGTCCGAAGATGGCAGCGGGAGCGAAAGAGAGGGGGTGGACCAGTTGACCCCGGCAAGTTGCTGCAACACACATGAGCCGGCACTCATCAACATGTCTGGCCGTCGGATCTATTTATCGGTTCTGTCTTGACTTGAGACTGGGTTTGGGCTTCTCAAAAGAGCACCCGCCGGACCTTGGTGTCCGGGCCGCGTATGAACCTTCGGACGTATATTTTGCTATCGGGTTTGGTGTCGGCCGCCGAGATCTGCTCGTTAGCCCATCTGCCATCGGACAGCAATGTGGACTTCGAAAAAATTAAAAAAGAAGAAGAAAAAAAAAACATTCGCAAGTCTATTGAAATTCCGTCCAACTTAAGACAGTCGCTGGTGTTAGCGCGAGTGTTCGTTCAGACCGACACCGCTGGTCTCGACACTATTTCGTGTCCCCCGCGAAGAACCCTCATCATTGTCTTAAAGCTTCCAGAAACTTCGTTTCAACTTGGGGAAAAGGAAAGTAACTACACCGCCTCAAGGCTCTAGGGACTTAGACACGAATGTGCAGCCTACTAAGCCCATTCGGGGATTCAAACATTGCTCAACGGCTACTAAAAGTTCTCGAGAGCAGGAGTAGCCAAGATGGTCTGAGGAGCCCTGTGGTATAATTTTGAGGTCGCGTTACCTTTTTCTGCACTTCAGTCCCGCTTCAGCTCTGCCATGGTCGTATGCTAGACCGTCATACCGTGTTGCTGTCAAACCTCTTGTTTGAGCAGTCCCTTGGCATTCATAACAACAAGACGCATCGTTGATAGACTTGTGCCCCTAAAGAAGCAGTATTCCTGCTTTATTTCATAAAACGGCTAAAAAATTGAATTCATAATTGAAGCAGCAGACTATCTTGTCGTGTACACATCGGTACAAGATGAAAGCACTGGATTCAACTACATTGGGCGCAATTAACAGATATCAAACCATATTGCATCTACCGAGAAGATCAAGTTGAATAAAATAATAATTTTCAGCTTGTTCGCCGCCCAAGTGCAGACTTGTTACAAAAGGAAACTACCCATTGACAACTACCAAGTGGCCCATGCACTTGGTCGCTCACAGGTATGGAATTGAGTGGTGGAGTTAGCCCTTAATCGTATAGACGCGTTTTGTATAATTCATTGAGAATATAAATCCATTGGTTGGACAACCTACCAGCTCGAATGTCCTAATCTGTGACTATTCGACAAGAATGCTACCATTGCGGCTAGAGAGAACTTCGCAAGTCTACCCCGTAGCTGGAGAAATGATACCCTACCCAAAGAAATTATAGTTCATAGACCATGGGCTTGTTCCACTCTGAAGCCTTGGCACCATATTTCGCCGCGCTTTGACATAATTCGCCATCTTCGGCTCCTGTTTTCACACCGCGCAGGCCCATCGTTGCCCTATTAAACGAGAGTATTTGAATCAGACCATGCCATCTGTTGATTATTAATTGATAAACGTTTCAACTCAAGCTGTTACATGATCCGTAATGCGGGAAACGCAATGTATAGATGTGTCACTCAGCTGATGCTTGTATCTTGTATTTCCTCCATTATGTACCTTGGCTTGCCGCCTTCATTGACTCACTGCCCTCTTCATGACACAAAGATGAAAGTTTCCTGTTTCTATTCCTCATTTTAGCAGCTTCCCGTCCGACTGAAACATGCAATATTTCTCTTGCGAGTTCTTGTGAGTCCCAGAGGGCATGTGTTTCCGGTTTGCAGTTCGCCCAATGCCCAGCAACTCCACGTGATAATCATAGTCGTAGCGATTCGTCCATGGAGGAAGTACTACTTGAGGAGCTCTCGCACTATTTCAAACTAGTCTCCGGATGCATGGGAATGATCAGTCATGTATGTATATACCAGATTGCTTCGTAATATGAGTTTGCACCGCCGTGATGTACGCTGCACACAATGTGCCCAGAGTTGAGTTTGGCAGTGGGTTGGGGCTTAATCCAGTCGTAGATTCTCGCAATATCGAGCTTGAATTCGTCTGACAGAGTATAATATATTTTGCATCCAGGCTCACCGACTTCGTATGTGGCTTGCTTCCTCAACTTCCAGAGAACCTGAATGACGGACGACATGGGGGCTGATGACACGGTTGCCAATACTACTCGAATTTCCTGTGCCAACTCACAAACACGATCCTCAGAAACGCGGCATATTGACCCAAGGTTGATATAGATTGTCCGTATTTTGAATAGCCACTTTGCCAATTCTGCGTCGTTATGCTCGACGTTGCGAGCAGATCTGAGGATCGGGCCACAGGGTATAACGTGCGGTGGAATGACAGAGAGAAGATCGAGTTCTAGCAATGTTCCTACGAGAAATCTGGATACCTTGGGGTCTCTTTAGTAGCAGGTTAACCAGAGTCCTTAAAATTACTCCTACCTTGCTTAACGAGTGAGCTTCGACATCTTTGATATGGCGGTCAGTTTTAAAGGCGAAGACCGTATAAAAAACAAGTAGGATGTCCAGGGGTATCAAATGCCGTGGTACAGGATATTTATCACGAAAAAGAACGCGCCTCAATCGAATAGGAATTATAACCCCAGCTTATATTTCACTAACACACCCCCGTAATTTAAATTAAAGTTATGATATCACAGCTGTAATGTAAGCTAAATAGTGGTTAGTTACTACTTATAGCGTTTTTTTTATAATGCAAAGGGGCCTGATCAGTGAGCACGGCTCGACGAAGCGCAGAGTACAAGACTTTTATTTGGGACACACGCGGGATTTAGCCAGATATTTGCACGTTTGGCTATGATGAACCAAATGATAGCAAGCGGTAAGATCGGCAGTCATTAGATAGTCTACTAGAGCCAGGTCCGCACATACGGAAGTAATGATGCTAGCAACCGAATTAAATAATATCTGCATATGAGTACCACTGTACGGCACCGTAATTGTCATGGTGTCGCGAATGGCTCGCATCGTTGTTCTAATGCCCAGTGGCCTCAAGTACGACTCTGGAAGGTAACTATCGCGGCATGGAACGAATGTCGTAGAAAAGTATTGCATGAATCCCGCTTCCATTTTCAAGCCCTGGAGTCTGTGGAAATCAATAGGTGTTGCCGTGGCAGCTTGATTCTCGGCATTTTCCCAGAGCGAGTACACCTCCGTCTGGAGGCTGTTCAAGGTTGCAAAATGAATTTCAATTCTTGCCTTCCTCTGTAGCAAGTCCTCTGCAACAGCAAGGAGCGCGCTGGCATGACCACGGCCAACTTTGGTCAGTAACAGAAGCTTCCTTGGCATGGAGGATGTGACCGACGGGTGTCGTACCAAGCTGGCAACTTTTCCGAACACCAAGTGGCTGCATTGCCCATTATAAGTATATATTCTTATGCATCCCGGCGCGGACTTTTTACATAGTTTTATACAGAGTATCATGCAGCCGAAAGTGGACGGTTGTCCGGTAACTCTGCATATGCCAACGCATCGCAAGCGTAGGCAATACAAAAGACCATGTCATGTAGCGGGATCACATGTTTCCGGCAATTTCCTCTGAAAACTCAAACTAACCCTTGACTCACCTTGGTTGACTCCGGCCCGGTATGCTGAGTGATTTTTCTGTATTTGAGTCTGTGGCTAGACTAGCTCCAGCGTATACTTCAATATGCAGACAATTACATGATCTACCAACATCTTTCCTTCGGCCTCTCCGACCTTGAGGCTCACACTATACCTACTAAGCGCGTTGATACAAGACAGTCAACTCAATTGTACAGTAACAGGTCCTTGAGCGCCCACATCTCGGTGAGCACAAACTCTACTGACAACAGATACCAATTCCTGCAGTCCTGGCATCCCTCGTAACTGTATGGCCTTTGCCATGATCGGGTAACATGGCCAATCCTCATCGCACATTCCGAAAAGGGCCATAGCTCCGTGGATGTAGGGATCATTACGGCCAACTACATGGCGTGTTGGAACGTCGATTATGCTGTCGCATTCATCGGCCAGCAAGCAATGAACTGTTTTGTCTGCCAGCCGAACGGGTGCCATCCGGCAAAGAAGCATTCTACCCAACAGGAAAAGAGTTAAGATAGTGCAAAAAAGTGGAATCAAAGTTCAGAAAGGACAAACACACCTGAATCTGTCGGGGCCTGCCTGCTTCCTCCCATAATCACTTCTCCGCTAGGGATGAGTGTCAACGGAATATAAGGGGGTATAATTGCTGTTCAATTAGAGCGAGTTCTTTTTGTGATAATGAGACTAGCCGCCACTGTGGCACCTTCTGAGTAGCCAAGTATTCCCTTTCTTGGTCAGGACTATGACCATGTGTATTTTGAGAGCAGAATAGCACAGTAACTTGCTGTAATGTCCGGGTCTTCATCCAAAGCCTTGATGAGTCGCCTCAATGTGTTTCGGACAGCCGGGGCGCTGAAGGATTGCTGACCGCCTACCAACGCCCGCATAGTATCTTCGGCAGTCATGTCTTCTAGAAACCCGCGCAGCTTCGACAACATGTCGTCGAGTTCGCTGACACCGTGAAGGCAATAAAGCGATATAGCGGACCCGGACCAAACTAGGCGTCGAAGCCTGCCGGAGGTGTCGCAATATGTCCGCCATTCATCCATTTGAACTTGGCGGAACCGGATTTCCCTACTGCATCAATAAAAGGCCGGAGTTGTGTTTTAAAGTGCTGAGAAATGTAAGTTGTTGTACTGCTGTAAAGGAAACACCGTGCATGATGGACTTATAAAGGCACTGCCATAGGCTCCGTGAAGACACAAGATTGTTATTCTCGAGAAAGACTGTCGAGGACAGTGAAGGTCTGGCGCGAGATGGCCTTCCTATTTAGCCACAAGGCTGGCTCGGTCGTTCATATGGAGCCTGTTCACGAGCCGCGGGATAGGGCGCTCAAAAGTTATCACGAGTTCTGGAATCATTGGGTGCGACGGTCCAGGGTTGCAGCCTTGCATTTCCCCGCAAAGAATATGCAGGGACGACGGTTGATTGTGGCTTGAAGGTTGGTACCCGGTTCGTGGCGCGGCACATGGCTAACCCCGAGGTTATCATAGTCATTATGAGCTATAACGACCGTTCGTCCAGACCCACGGGTCCTAGTCCGGCAGTTGGCGGCGTCATATCCAGGAGGCAAATTTCCTACCTACAATCAGCTTGTCGGGAATGAGCAAACAGGCACGGATCTGCAGATCCACGAATAGCTTCAACATACAGGCGTGGCCAAGGGGCGGCTACGTACCAGACTGAACTTGAACCAGACTTTAATCGAATAGGCTTAGTACACTAGGACTATTCTGTTTGCCGGCAAGTTGATCTGGGTTTGGAACAACAGTTATTAAAATGCTACTTTAAGTGGACTGACAGCCAGCTGGGTTCTGAGTTATGATAAATGGCTCTCATCAATCACCTGTCTGGTAGATGCCGTGTACTAGCTTCTGATGACATGTGAGCGCGGGCCGAAGGGTATGAGAATCCTTGTGAATTCAGATCCGGACAAGATGAAACCTTCCTTCATCGTGGTGATTAATGGCAACCCTACCGTTGCACATACAGGGCCAACCCTGCCAACCACCCATTCCTGGTGGATGATCAGGAGAGATGGTAATTCCTCAGCTAATCCATGAGGCCATTCGGCGGTTCTGCAAAGGCAAGTGAAAAAGGGATGTGCGCAACCTTGTAAACCGCCTTCCGGTGAAACCGCCTTCCGGTCCAAATACAAAGCAGAACCTCGTCATCATGCATCCGTGATTTTACATATTTGTATACATAAACTTCTTTTCAATTCTTAATAAGTGTCTCATATTGCCCAGATACCATGTCTACAACAAGCCCGATAGCTATTGTGGGCATGTCATGCTGCCTGTCTGGCGCCCACTGCCAATTTCGAATAGGCAAATGCAGAAATTCCGCTAAGCAAGTGGCATATGAAGGTGGCCGTCACTCTGCCTCCTTGGCCAAAGGACAAACCCCTCATTAGGTCAACAACTTTGGCTTTGGTGGATCAAACGCTCATGCCGTCATGTAGAGAATTCCCCTCTCGCTATCTAGGTTGCCAGTCAAAATCTCCAAAGAACAAGCCAAGTTGTTTGTGCTCTGCGCCAATGGCGAGGGTGCCGCAAAACGGATGATATCCCAGCTGAGTGTGTCCTGGAACACCACCCGGAAATATTTGAGAAGAGGATCTTCAGCGAAATTACATATACTCTGGGCGAGAGACGATTATATCTGCCGTGGCGAGTTGCGATTACGGCAAAACCAAGCGACGAGTTGGCCATGTCACTAAACAGTCAACTGGTCCTACCAATCTTCCCAAGAGGTCCACCAATAACACCCCAAACTGGGGTCAATTTATACCGGTCAGGGTGCCCAGTGGGCGCAAATAGGACACGAACTTATTGATACTTGTGCCGTATTTTCCAACGCCATTCGTGCCGCGTCTGTCTGAAGGACCTCGGCGCGAACTTTTGATGGAGCAGCTACTAAAGCTCAAGGACGAGTCCAGGATTGCCCAGGCGAATCTATCCCAGCCAATATGTACAGCAGTACAGCTTGGGTTGACTGATATTTTAGCCTCATGGGGTATTAAACCAAACATGGCGCTCGGCCACTCCAGTGGTGAAATTGTCGCAGCGTATGCGGCAAGGGCCATCACCGTGCGCGAAGCCATGGCGGCTGCATATCATCGCGGACAGGCAGCCCTGTTGGTAAAAGAAAGACACCCGGAGCTTCGAGGACTTATGATGGCGGTGGGTTGTAATGCAAACGAAATTCAGCGCAAGATTGAGATCTTGGGACTGTACGAGTTGACAGCGGCTTGTCATAACTCTCCTAATTCTACAACGGTCTCGGGCGACGAAGACGCGATTGATAAACTCGCTGCTGAGCTTGAGAGAGATGGCATCTTTAGCCGTAATTTTCGTGTTGATGTTGCCTACCATTCGTGTCGCATGGTATTGGTTGCGCAGGATTACTTGTCGGCCATCAACGATATGGCGCCTCGCCCATGTCTTCCCGAGGCGGCATTCTACTCGCTTGTAGGCAAACACAAAACCACCGAGGCCTTGGGGCCCTCATATTGGGTCAATAATTTAGTGAAGGCGGGGGAAAATAGATTATATTGTGATATGAAATTTTATAGAATTTCAAAAATCAAGCTTGTGTAGGAGCTACATATTCTTTTAATATTAATTTTAAAGCATTCTATTCTCAACAGCTCTCCTGGACATGTATAACAACGAGTAGCCGGGTGTATTGATCGAAGTCGGTCCTCATTCCGCTCTCAAAGGACCCATCCAGCAGATACTGCGATCTATAAGCCCGCAGGCGAACAAAGAGGTGAAATACTTGCCATCTCTGATGCGGCATCAAATCACTGCCACATCCCTGATGAATGTTGCTGGAAACCTCTTCATTCAGGGGCTCGCTGTGAACTTCAGCGAGATCAATCAGACAGCAGCAACGCAACCACCGAACCTCGTTACAGATTTTCCCCCATACCCTTGGTCTAGCCATCCATACTGGTATGAGCCGCGTGCCAGCAAGCAACATCGCCTGAAGCCGTTTGCTCGCCATGATTTGCTCGGAATACTCGACGACAAATACACAGATTCTGAACTTACTCCGTACTTGGCGCAATATTATATCGGTCGACGATATTCCATGGCTCAAAGGCCACCGCATGCAGTCTCCTGTTACGTATCCGTTGTCAGGGTATTTATGCATGACTGTTGGGTCGGCATCGCAGAGGGCGCAGCTCCGACAAGTTCAAGTTGAACAATTGGCGTCGTTCCATCTCCGGGAATTCATCGCCTCAAAGGCTCTCATCATGGATTCCACAACCCACTATGAGACAGTTATCACCTTGCGTCCGTAAAATGAGGGAACTAGATCTCATTCAAATGACTGGGACGAGTTTTGCATCTCCTCGTGGGCACCAAGCAGAGGTCGGCTTGAACACTGCCGCGGCTTGTTGTCTGCCAAAAAGTCGCGGAATGCGAACACCGTCAACCAAGCCAAGTTCCAAGGAGCCTATTCTCGATTATCAGAAGCCACGAATAAATCCGCGGTTGTTGTCCCCGTCACCTTGAATGAGATGTATGCCGAGCTGGGTCGTCAAGGGGCCGAGTACGAGTCATCATTCGTAAACTCAGCTGGATACACCAGCGTGTCTAGCGAATATACCGTGAGAGTTGTTGCTATTCCGGATACCGCGACATCAATGCACTCTGCCTATCAAAACCCGTCAATTTTTCCAGCCTCATTCATGGACCTGATGTTTCAGTTTACTTTCCCACTGCTTGGTGCCGAGTTTGGCATCATGCCGTCTCTGTTCATGCCCTCAGCCATCAGCGATATTGAGATTAGCACAAGGCTACCGAATATTCCGGGTGAGAGTGTTCAGGTAGTAGCAGCCGGCCGTCTCAGTCTTGAGAGTCCAGGCCCCGTTTCATCTTACATCGACGCTTGGCATGTTGCATGTAGCGAGCCGGTCGTCACAATGGAAGGTTCAAAATGAGTCCTGTCAAGAGCGATGTCAGCGCCGATCAAAAGCCCAGATATCTATGTTACAAAGTTAAATGGAAGACCTTCAACACGAGTGGTGAGGACAAGAAAGTAGAAGCTTTCACAAAGGGTGTAACCATGTCCCCAATGGAACCGCCGAAGCGCGGGTAAATGGAAGTGCAACACACGAAGAAACAAACGGACACCTAGCCACAAACGGGGAGCAATACACGAATGGAGAATCAGAGAGCCATCAACCCCTTCACAGCGTGTTGACTAATGGGCATTGGAATGGCTGCAATGGGCCCAATGGACATGGTTCGAGATCCGAGGCAAAGATTAACGGCAATGCCAATGGATTCCACAAGACTCCTGGAGTGAATGAGCACCATGATGCCCAGTCATTGTCATCTGAGATGAAGCTGGACGTCACTAAAGCTGTGACAAGGCTTAGGATCAAGAGCTTGGAGCAAAAGACTCAATTCAACCATAATCTTATAGGATACGGATACTAAAGGTCTTTAATTTAAGAAGAACGAGAGGGATTAAAAGACCTTTAGTTACTCATGGAAAAAATAAAGGGGCTTATGGTCTCTCACCGCCCTCGTGATCTCCCTGTGTAACTTCCTGTTGGTTCTCTTTGTTGGTCTCCCAACCGTGTAATAAAATTCGTCTTGGTATCCGGTCGACATAAGTCGGACCAACTGATCTCTTCACTCTCTCAGCCGTTGTTATTTCTCTTAACGAACCAAGTCCAGCTCCATCTGCTCATTTCCTTTGTTTACTTGAGCTTGATGACAATTTCCTGTCAGATTTGTCGGAAGAAACCTTCTGCAAACTCCAAAGCTTGCTACTCACCGGATCGTCTGTGTTATGGGCGACGACAGGGGCATATCGCTTTGCATTGCATCCTGAAAGAAATATGGCTCAGGGCATGTTTCGTAGCGTGCGCTCCGAGACGGGAAATACGAAACGAACTCTTGATATAGATCCAAACTCGTCATGAAGCCACTCTGAGAAAGCGGGGAGGTCATAGTGCGTGCTTTTACTGCCATCACAAATCCCGTCAGCAACTTTTCAGTACAAGATTTTGAGTTTCACGAAGACAGCGGCAAGCTAATTGTGCCTCGGATAGCGATTGACGATGCCATGAATTTGGAAAATTTCCACCGAGCAAACCCCTTGGTGCCATATGCTCAGAATTTCCAACAGCCTGGCCGTCGCCTCAAAATGGGTGTTGGCACAGCCGGGGCACTCGACTCCCTGTACTGGAAAGATGACCTTGAGAAGCCCTTGCCTGACGATGAGATTGAAAACCAGGTTGCTTGCAAATGAACTTCCAAGACGTTGTCATAGCAATGGGCCAGCTCGCAAGCCCGTACATAGGTGTCGAGTGCAGCGGCACTGTCACACGCGTAGGCGCGCAAAGGTCACGTCTCTTGCTATATGAGATAGAGTCTGTGCCGTGCCGCTCGAAGCATATGGATCTTTTTCTCAGTGTCTTGCCTCGAGCGCGGCTGTGATTGCGCATGACATGTCCATTGCCGTCGCCGCTTCCATACCCGTGGTGTATTGCGCAGCCTACTATGGCCTTGTTGACCTGGCTCGAATCGAATCGGGTGAGAGCATTTTGATTCATGCAGCATCAGGTGGTGTTGGTCAAGCTGCCATCCAGTTAGCTCAGGTGATTGGTGCAGAAATCTACGCAACTGTGGCTCGGCAGAGAAGAAGCGGCTTCTAATTGATACGTAAGGCATAGCTGAGAGTCACATATTCTATAGCAGAGATGATGCATTTGATCCTGCTATTCGTCACGCCACAGGCGGCCGAGGTGTGGACGTTGTCATCAATTCTCTAGCTGGGGATCTCCTACGAAAGAGTTGGGCGTGCCATAGCTGAGAGTCTTGCACCCTTTGGAAGGTTCATAGAGATGGGGAAACGAGATGTCACTTCAAACACACGTCCAGACATGCTGAAGCTTGACTCTAACTGCATATTTAGTTCAGTGGAGTTGACATTGGTAGCGGGCGAGCGACCCAGGTTGATGAGTCGGATCATGGGGAACGTTATGAACCTCTTGAGACGAAAGGTTGTATATCCCATAGGTCCAATCACAGAAACAAGCATCGACCAAGTAGGAACATCTTTGCGAAAGCTGCAAAGTGGAAAAACATCTGGAACGGTCATTGTCAACCATTCACAGCCAGCAAAGGTCAAGGTGCGTTTAGCTTGGATTTAAACGCCATGATTGCGGACTAACAAATCGCACCAGGCCACGCACCCGACCATGCCTGTCAACGTGCTTGGTCCAAATGCGACTTACCTCATCATCGAAGGCACAGGTGGTATTGCGTGTGCCATTGCTACAAAGCTCGTCCAGCAGGGTGCCTGTGACAAGGGCTCGTTATAGGGCTTGGAGCAAAAGGGCTCTATTCAGTAATAATCTCGTAGGATGTCAAAGGTCCCGAGTTGCCTCAAGGAAGGAAGAGAAAGGTGACCTTTATTTATACATGAAAGGGACGCCCGGGCACGTGTTCCAGCTGTGTAACCAACAAGTCCGTTTACGTATAGAAATGCGATGTGAGTGACAAAGGTGCTGTGTCGGCCTTGGTCTCCGGGCTACGGAAATCACTCCCACTTTTTCGTGATATCATCTATGCGGCCATAGTACTCAGGTTAAGGCTCCAAGTTCCTTCCATCATCTGACTCACTCAACCTCTGACACAAACATAGGACATATTGTTTGAAAAGATGGCGTTTGACGATTATAACACCGTCATCCGGTCCAAGGTCAGCGGCGCACGCAACTTTCACGACGAGTTCCATGATGACAAGCTGGACTTTTTTATCCCGCTCTCATCCGTAGGTATTGTTGGAAACAGGGGCCAGGCTGCATACTCGGCGGCGGAAACCTTTCTTGATGCTTTGGCTCATCATCGCTGGCAAAATGGGCAGGCTGCCTTGTCCCTGAATCTCGCAGCTGTTGACGACGTCGGATATCTAGCCAGCAATTTGGCCAAAGAATCCGAGGAAATGAAGACTATATATGGTAGCTCAATGACCGAGGCGGAGGTGCTTGGTCTTGGGGAAGTTGAATCCAGGGGCCAATGCATCTTGAGGCTGAATCTTGACAATCCGGCGATGCTGCCATTCTGGGCAAGCGATGCAAAGCTTTATCACATCCGTGAACAAGCCCTTGCCACATCCGCGAATCTAGGGTCAGCCGGAGGGTCGAATATACCTGTCGCGGAAGGACTAAAGCATCTGTCAAATAAAGAAGAGGCGATTGACCTGGTGGCAGATGAGCTTGGTAACAAGCTGGCTGCCATTTTGATGTTGGCACCGGAAGACATGGCAACGCAAAAGACGTACATGTCAATCACGGCATTTGGACTGGACTCATTGATCGCCATGGAGCTGCGAAACTGGATTGGAAACGAACTTCAAGCACATTTACAGGTATTGGAATTGCCGACAAGGGGTAAACGTACGAAATTGGCAGCATTGGTTTTGAAGAAGACGCGATTTGCTACACCCTTGGGATAAAGAGGAGAACCGGGGCTGGACATAGAGGGGTAAATACGTTTTGACTTCATTCAAGCATCTGGCAATACATAGGGCGAGATTGTTATATTAGTTATGTTCGCCGTTTGTTTCTCTCTATTCTGGCCTTGTCGATATTCAAGAAGACGGCCTCTTTCGAAAGTGTGTCAATGGCTACTATGGCACAGACGATATACTATCCGCCGCTAATGAGACCTTTGAACAGGTTACCTTGGCAAACATCGGCAAATGACAGGTTTCAGGACTTGCAATTGCATCTATGAAGGAACAAAAACTTGGGTCAAGTTTGCCCCAAGCCTGTACGAGATGTGACGATTGAGAGACCTGCAACTGCCCCAGCTGTGCTATTTCATGGGGTCTGCCAGAGTGATCCAAGCGGTAGATTAAAACAACATATTCACTATTATGCAAATGCCTGTAACGCAATTTAGAAAACTCTTCAAGAAGACACCGGTATAGACGCGGCCGGGTCCCTCAGAGTCTAGCCTGGCCAAGTATTTGACGCCTGGACACATTCATGGCGGATCATATCGTCATTGCCAATTGGTGATCTGTGGGATGCCAATTCCTCTCTTGAGCAACAATTGGCAATACACATTGCAGGCCAATATCCCAATCGACAACTAATTGCATCACAACTTGGCCCAAGCACTACACTGCCTCGAGATAGAGTTTTTGGCTCGTGTCGCTAGACCTTGCCAAAGCCACCACTCCGCCTCAGAATGGAAAGTATCCTCATTTCCGCCTTTCCTGGCGACAGTCATGGATGCGGTGTTGCAGATTCCCGGTGCTATCGACCACGCAAGTGCCGGCGGATTTGAAGAGACGCTGGTCACAAGCCGCATAATTGGTGACGTGCTATTATTAGTGAACATGTCGCATCCAAAATTGGCAGATGGCAGCAGAACAGCCCAGCTAAAGTGGCAGCGGAAGTGGCTGGCATGGCAAAGGAAACACGCCCAATCTGGCTCCTGAGACGGGCAAACACCAGCATCCATGGCGATTTACTTCCTATGAGTACCAAATTTAGACAACGAGGTCTCAGGTATCGTCAACTTACATGCATGAGATTTACGAGGCAGATTCCGCCTAGATCTAGAGCTGGTGCCGGAAATGGCCCAGCAGACGGGGGGCAAATGACAGTGTTGAACATTATTGTTCTCACCATGTGGGTTATCGAAGCATTTACATGGCCTGTGCACAAATTATGGCATCAATTGGCGCACATGCACGAGGCATTGGTAATGCACTACTGCACAACTGCGGCACACCTGCTGCACAAGGCGCGGGGACTCCGCGGGCAGGCCAAGGGCACAGTGCCACGGCCAGTGCCTGCATGCATCCGAAGGGTAGGGCAGGCCGGCTCGCTTCAAATGCGGAGTAATCATGATTGATGGCTTATCCATCATCAATTCTTCTTCGCTTCCACGTTGCATCTGCACAAGACAAGTGCCTGTCATGTGTCTGGGAGGTCAGCCAATCCTTTGCCCACATGGTTGCCTACAAATGCAGTCGACGTACCCTCATCTTGCCGTCATGGTCTCGACGACCTCCACCAGGCGTTTCGACATTCTAGCCCGGCCGTGACAGGCAACGATCGAGTACAGGGCGCATAGTGCGAATCCAAGCAGCATGGTGACAAGGCGGTTCGAAATAAATTGCGATGCCCCAGAGCTAGTCAGTGGCGTCATGAACCAAACGACAACATCCCTGCGCCAGCCCTAGATGGCGTCTTCAGACATGTCAGATCCGTCCCCTCGACAGTCGGAATGAATCGACAGGCGCAGGTCAAGCGTTGCGACCCGAGAGTCGGAGCTTGCCGTTATCCGAAGAGTGTCACAACTTGGGAAATGCGACACACGACACGCTCAGACTTGCTTCCCTCCGTCTGCCTGCCTCTGCGCGTGAAGGGGACCCTGGTGGACAAACTCAATCGACACAAGTATATATTAAGAAAAATCAAGCCTTTTTCGTCCACGCCACAACCAAGCCGCATAGCTCTCTGCCCAGTCACGACTCGTGTGGTGTGGTCAGTGGTCGATCTAGCTCCGCATCGACCCCTAACTCGTCAAGTCCCTGAGTTCTGGCGTTGGTGGTGCAATGGCTTAGGACAGCCTCTAACGCTTCTGGACGCCATCTGGACCACAGCCGTCTCCCTGGCCTGCCGAGGACGGGTCAACTGGTACCCTTCTCTGGCCACGTCGTGGCGGAAACAAAATGTACTTGCCACGTTGTTTCAAGACCTTCAGCTAAACGCGCCACGATTCGTGCGGTTCCCATGCGCACGACTCCATACCCTCGACAAGTAAGACAGCACGGCAGGAGGATCCGAGTCTTGGGAGCAACGGCATCAGAGTTCTTCCCGCGAGAGTAGTCCGTACTAAAAGTCAATATTTGAACTCTGGTATGGGTTGGTTGCGGGGCTTACCCGAGCTCAGCCTCAGCCCTCTCAAGAGTCCAAGATACAAAGGGCCATCGGTGAGAGTCCGATCAGCCACATCCCAGCAAAACGGCAGGCCAGTGGCTGCTCATGTAGGCCTGGGCCGTTTGTCCCCTGGATGGGGAGCAGCTAAGCATTCACTAGCACCAGCTGACCAGGGTCCAGCAGCCACTTGTATCGTCGTGTCAGACTTGGTGACGGGACTCCGTGGGCGAGACATCGGTCATGAGTGGCGCAATATTTGTCGCACCTGGCACCAAAATGACCCCCAAAGATGCGGTAATTTTGTGAGCGAGAGTCGACATGGACACAAACTTCGCAGGGCTTGGCTGGGCGCGCGGGCTGCTGACCACTGCCGTCAGGTTGAGAAGTAGTCATGCCGCCCGTGATGCATAGCGAACCCAGCAACCTGGTCTGTGACAGCTTGTCACAGCCGCCTCCGATATGCAGCTATTATTAACAGCCCAGCACTGCCCAGATGCCACTTCTGTATTCCTATAAAGCTATCTTGGGTCCCAAACACACACCTCCGGCGAGCGGTGGTTGCGTAACTTGAACCCGTGGTCTCCGAGGGCTTCCAATATTGCAATATTGCGGTCTTGCGTTTGGTGGGCATAATTGGCTCCTTTGTCGGGACAATTTCCAGACTGTTTAACGCGGGCGGATCAAAGTTGCAATGATGAATTCTTGATCAACGCCGCAGAGATGGAAGTAACCAAGCATGCCCAAGACACCATGGTCGGCGCAACAATAAGAGAGATTGACAATGACAAGCCGGCGACGATTTCACAAGATAGTTTGGAACATGACCAGAGGCGACGGCGACGGCGACGGCATTCGGACCCGAGCAGATACGAAATTCTCTGTGCTCGGTCTCTACTCCTGTGGCTGATTGCCAGCGGCGGAACTGGGTTGACCATGTAAGTTGATTCAAATGAGTAAGGCTGTGGTATTTTAACCAAGATCCCGTCGCCACTGACACGGGCTCGTCTGCAAAGCGGAATCATCCTCGTCATTACATGGGCTGCCCAACCCAAGGCCATGCGACCAACTCAGTCGCACAACTTCATTTCCATTAATCCCATCGATACGTCAAGCCCGTCTCCGGACACGTACCTCAATGACTACGCAAAATCTGTCATCCCCGTGCCAGTGCATTCGCACAATGACTATTGGAGGCCGCATCCACTATACTCGGCCCTCGCGGCTGGCTGCATGAGCGTCGAAGCAGATGTATGGCTAAGCCCAGATGGTAACGACCTCTACGTTGGCCATCACCGTTCATCGCTATCAGCAAGCCGAACTTTGCAAACCCTTTATCTTGATCCAATCAAGGAGATTCTCGACAGGCTGAATCCGGGCAACGTTTCTGACCTCGATGGCGGGCCTAATGGCATGTTTCAGACGGCACCTGATACCACATTAGTCCTTCTCATTGACGTCAAGGGAAACGCAACACAGATCTGGCCAGTAGTTGACAAACAACTGGAAGCCCTTCGCAAAAGTGGCTACCTCTCAACACTTGAATACAGCAACAGCACATCCAGCTCAAAGTCGGCACCTGTCTTCAAGCAAGGTCCCATCACTGTTGTTGCGTCTGGCAACATCGGCAAGTCGAATGTCACGGGAGTCGGATGCGACGCCCTGAATCAGTTCAAGGACAGCTTCCTTGACGCACCTATTGATGCGCTTGTTGACGGCTCCAGCTTTGGTAAACTTTCGGATTGCCAGGTCGACTCTCTTCTTGACCGACCACTTGCCAAATTTTACACAGCATCGGCGCCATTGATGCATATCTTTAGGCCAACCAACAGTGGCCTCTCAAGTAGTCAAAAAGACCACATTCGAGCCGCCTTGCAAGCCGCGGCAGCAAAGAATCTAACGTCCAGATACTGGTCTCTGCCGTCGTGGCCCATTTCACGGCGAGACTATGTTTGGCAATTCCTGGTGGACGAGGGCATCGGCTTGTTAAACGCCGATGACATTGAGAGTGCGACTAGACTGGAGTGGAACAGGGCCTACAAGGCTGAGCTTGTCTGGATTGGCATCTCGTCCGCCTACATTTTTTTTGCTTCACTGTTGTTTGCCTACTTATACGATAGGTCGAGTAAGTCGAAGAAGTCGGAAATGGTTGCACACGATTAAAATAGCATGTTGGGAAGGAGTTTGGCAAGATACACGGGCCTTTGTACAATGTTACGAATTACGACTTGATATACCCAGAACATATTTGAGCTTTTTGATACACGACGCCAATTGACTCTTGTATAACTACTTTTTGCGATCAGTAACTGAGCCGACTAAGAAGTAGCGACGCATGCGTTTTTGTGTGGTGTTGATTGCACGATGAATGGACTGGAGAGTTTGGAGTTGTCACCCGGCTAGAGGTATGGTGCCTGTCGGGTTTGACGGGGAATTGCTGCGTAATAAATGAGGAGCTTGGCAGTTATATCATGACATGGAGTGGCAGCACTTGGGACTGAAATGTCACCGGCAGCCCCAATGAAACGGTCGAGTGTATCCGGCCATGTCCATTCGGCTT